TGAACACAAAAGACACAACCAATGTATACATTGGCACATTTTTATTCATTCATGTACTACACAGCACAACTGTTAAAAACTTTGTTCTGGGTCAGGCCAGAGAATCTCGTCCACATCACAGGCTATATTGGCCCTAGCCAAAGATTTAGAAAACCTCGGGTTATTGGTAAACCAGTCACGAACCAGAGCAGCGCGATGGAAGCTGACATTATCCCAAACAACAATGTAACGAGGCTGCTCTGGCTGTGCTGGTTCCCTGAGGTCCAGCTGGAACATATGCTCTCTTAGACCGTCAAGGAAAGCAAGGAGGAGCATAGTGTTATAGGGTCCTAGAATGGCATGACGGTGGAGTACCCCTCGTTGGCTGATGGCTGCACACATAGTGACATTCCCTCCGTGCTGACCAGGGACATTTACAATAGCCCGATGGCCAATTATGTTCCTCCCCCTTCTCCTTCTTTTGGTCAGGTTGAAACCAGCCTCATCCACAAAGATAATTTCATGGGGAACAGGCCGGCCTTCAATCTCAAAGATTCTCTGCAAAACACATGAAACACAGTAGAGTAAATCACTGCCCTGAAGCACAGTTCAAGAGGGCACAAATGGCAGCATAAACTGCTATACTGTGATGGTACACAATACTTCATACGATATCAAAACTCATACCTGAACATATTCCACTCGTTGGTCTTTCACCCTTTCAGAGTTTCGTTCGAAAGGGATGCGGTACGCCTGTTTCATCCGGAACCGGTGCTTTCGGAGGATACGATCAATTGTGGAGAGGCTGATGGCATTTATCCCTCGAAAATGATGATTATCCTCAATCACTCTCCTTTGAATCTCTCGCAGGCGGATTACATTATTGGCAATGACCATGTTTACAAGCTCCCTCTCTTGCTCCTCTGACAAAAGCCTTAGCCTGCCTCCACCAGGTGGTCGTCTCTGTGTCCTACAAAAATAGAAGCACTCATTACTGTAACTGTCACACATCCTTTTTACAGGAAAAAATGGAAACATACTGAAACTCTATCTGTATGCGAGGCAATTTGATGCATTTCTTTATTACAGTAGCATAGTGCAACAGTGTATGCACTCTAAAGTTACTGTACAGAGCAGTCTTACTGTAAGTACACCTACCTGTTTTTCTCCCTGAAGGTTCTGATGATGGAGGCGACGGTGAAGCGAATCAAATTTGGCTGTACTCGTTGCCCAGCCTCCCTCATAGTCATACCATGGACAAGGACATGGTCAACTAAAGTGGCTGAAATGTAGGGATTTGTGTGTAGAGTTTTGCAGTAACAGTTCACCAAATCTGACTCATGTGTTAAAGCAGGGGAATAGTGTTTATAGTTCAGCAAAATGGGTGTGCTTTTTGAAAAATGGCGTTATGGTTTTGAAATTTTAGTTCAAAAGCCTGGTTATAGTGTTTTAGCAATCGAGAAAAACTGTAATATATACCTAATTAAATAATTATACAATATTTAAAATTATACTAAATTACTAAATGTAATAATAAACCCATAATGTCTGTTTAAAATAGATGTTTGCACATCTGTCTCTTTTTTATATATTAGTGCTCTGCAAGCTGTGGAAGTGGTTGGACAGAAAGACAAGTCCAGTGTATATCAGCACAGCAGAGGGTGAAGTTTCTGAAAAATGTCCCTCCTCCTCCAAACCGGAGGAACAGAAATCCTGCATCAGTCCTTCTTGTGAGTAACAGTGAATTATCAGTAGCAACAGCAGCAGCAGCAGCAGCACAGTGAATTACAATGCTTGTCCCTATAGTTTAATTTTTGCCCATATAGTGGTAGAAATGAAAGGTTTGCAACCTTGGGAATTGGCAAAAAAATCTCAGGTTTTCAGATTATTCACCTCTGCTGTAAAGCTATATTAGGGATAATATATATATATATATATATATATATATATATACACACACATTAGTTAGTTTACATATAGTTAACATACAGCTATATAGTTAATATAGTTTACATATTATTATGTATTTTATTTGGTCAAACACAAAAAATTCAAATATACAAAATTAGTTGATTTTTGATAATGTTTTGGTAACTTTATTTATTAACATTTATGTTATCTTTTTTAAAGAGGCAGTCATATTTTCAATATGTAAATTTGTATTTGTATTTGATCTTGCCTAGGTTTGTAAAACAATATCATATTTTTATTTTTAATATTTATTAAAAATAAAAAAGTTAACTGTTACTATTAACATTTCTGTTCTGTTATTTAATGAACAGTGCTAAACTTTATTTAAATTAAATAACAGAACAGAACAGAGAGTTTAATAAAGTTTAATAGAGAGTTTAATTAATGCTTGTCACAGATGGATCGCTTTTATTTAGTTTTTCCTTTTTTATTTAAGATATTCACAAACTTGCATACCATGTGTAAGGATGAAAGAAACTCAGATACTTTGATCTCCTGAGAAACAGACAATACAAGCATACACGGGCATCTTCGAGACACCCCACAGAGTGGAGGTGCAGAAACGCCTCTCTTTCACATATGCATCAGTCTTCCCTTCCCCTTCCCCTTCCCCTTCCCCATCCTCCCTCCACTTGGTTCACACTCATCTTTGATGATGTGCTTTGTCACGAAAGGTGTTCGCTTGTTTTGGTTTGAGCTCGCGTGTTTTGGGTAGCGCTTGTGTTTTGAATTTAGATGCGCTGAGATGCGAATGCTGCAATCATGAGTGAACTTGAACCTGAACAGGACAAATGTAAAAGAAAAGTTCAGCTTACCGCAAAAGCCATGGCTAATAAGATTGAGCAACTTCAGAAAGAACGAAAAATAAATGTGAATGCAATTAAAAAAATATAAGTGCCCCGTATGGAAGTGGCTCTAGTGCTGGTTCAGGAAATACTGATCAAATTCTCCATATTATGGATAAAAAAAATGAAATTACATCTTTACTGATTCAACAACAGTGTCTGTCATCTTTGCCTAAAAGGGAAATTCAGGTGTTTGACGGAAACCCTCTGCAATACCATTATTTTATGAAATCCTTTGAAAGTGCTGTGGAGACTAAAACTGAAAGCCCGAGTGATCGCTTATACTTTCTTGAACAGTACACCAGGGGTCATCCAAGAGAGATTATAAAGAGTTGCCAACATATGTCAGCCGATCATGGTTATTTAAGGGCCAAAGCTTTGCACAATCAGCTTGTAACACTCCAAAGAGAAAGGAAAACTTGAAAGAGAACAGCATTTGTTTTGGCTGCATGTGATCACCAGGGATCTCTCAGAAAGTGCGCAGAAGATAATGAAGACTTCAGCAAGGAAGTAATTGATGCAATCTTGCATTGCTTTTACGTAGACGACTGTCTTGTCTCTGTAAATTCAGAGGATAAAGCTGTTTCTCTGTATCACGACCTCATAGCTATTTGTGCTAAGGGGGGGTTTCACATTGACAAAATGGATAAGTAACATTCGAGATGTGCTGGTAAAAATCCCAGAGGAACTCAGAGCAAAAAACGTAAAAGATTTGGATTTGGGCAAAGATTTACTTCCCATAGAGAGAGTGTTAGGCATACAATGATGTATACAATCGGATGCCTTCAAGTTCACAATTGTTTTGCAGCAGAAGCCTTCAACCAGAAGGGGGATCCTTGCTACTGTGAGTTCTGTTTATGATCCCTTAGGAATTCTGTCTCCAGTGACTTTATGTGCAAAAAGGATCTTACAAGATCTGTGCAGGAAGAAACTTGGCTGGGATGATATTATTCCTGCTTCAAAGGCTCAGGAGTGGATCAACTGGTTGGATGGATTACGTGAGTTAGAAAACTTCAAGATCGATAGATGTTTCAAACCTATGGGTTTTGGAGAGATAAATATAGCACAGTTGCACCACTTTTCTGACGCAAGCGAAAATGGTTATGGAGTAGTTACTTATCTGCTTTTGCATGATGTTAACTCACAAGTGCATGTTGCTTTCGTAATGGGGAAAGCCAGAGTAGCTCCCTTGAAGTCAGTGTCTATTCCTCGAATGGAACTTACTGCTGCAACGTTGGCAAGCCGAATGGATTCATTGTGGAGAAAAGAACTCTGTATGTGCCTTCAAGACTCTGTTTTCTGAACCGACAGTACTTCTGTACTGAAATATATCAGAAATGAAGTTTCTAGGTATCGAATTTTCGTTGCCAACAGAGTTTCAGAAATTCTTAAGGTGTCTCGATCATCACAATGGAGGTACGTGAGCACTGCAGTAAATCCAGCAGACATGGCTTCCAGAGGGCTGAGAGTGGAATCATTTTTGAAGAACAAGAGTTGGGTGCTCGGACCACAGTTTCTTCTTTTGCCTGTAAAGGAGTGGCCAGTCAATCCTACTGACCTGGGAGAATGTTCACAAGATGATCCGGAGGTGAAAGGTGTCATTGTCAATACTGTACAATTAGAAGGGGATATGAATGTTATGACACACTTTATCCAATATTTCTCCTCTTGGATCCGTTTAAAGAGGTCAGTAGCTTGGATTCTCAGATTTAAAGCGAAGATGGATATGGAGTAGTTACTTATCTGCTTTTGCATGATGTTAACTCACAAGTGCATGTTGCTTTCGTAATGGGGAAAGCTAGAGTAGCTCCTTTGAAGCCAGTGTCTATCCCTCGAATGGAACTTACTGCTGCAACGTTGGCAAGCTGAATGGATTCATTGTGCAGAAAAGAACTTCTTCAAGACATGTATGTATGTGCCTTCAAGACTCTGTTTTCTGAACCGACAGTACTTCTGTACTGAAATATATCAGAAATGAAGTTTCTAGTTATCGAATTTTCGTTGCCAACAGAGTTTCAGAAATTCTTAAGGTGTCTCAATCATCACAATGGAGGTACGTGAGCACTGCAGTAAATCCAGCAGACATGGCTTCCAGAGGGCTGAGAGTGGAATCATTTTTGAAGAACAAGAGTTGGGTGCTCGGACCACAGTTTCTTCTTTTGCCTGTAAAGGAGTGGCCAGTCAATCCTACTGACCTGGGAGAATGTTCACAAGATGATCCGGAGGTGAAAGGTGTCATTGTCAATACTGTACAATTAGAAGGGGATATGAATGTTATGACACACTTTATCCAATATTTCTCCTCTTGGATCCGTTTAAAGAAGTCAGTAGCTTGGATTCTCAGATTTAATCCGAAATCTTAGTCAGAAGAGGAAATCATTGAAAATGGCTTTAAAACATTCTGGCATGGATGAAAACCAACAAAGACAACAACTGAAAGATGAAATGGAGAAAATGAAGGGTCAATGTGAAAGAAGTGAGCTTTCTGTGGAGGAGCTAAAGAAAGCTGAATTGGAGATTATTTGTTACTGCCAAAGACAAAGATACTCCAATGAATTCTCAAGTTTGCAAAAGGAAGAACAAGTGAAAAGGAACAGTCACATTTATAAACTTAATCCAGTCCTTGAAGATAGTGTTTTAAGAGTAGGGGGACGGTTGAGTAGGGCAGCTATGCCCAAAGAGTCAAAACATCCTGCTATACTTGCAAAGGACTTTCACATCTCATGCATTATCCTTAAACATATACATGAAGAGGTGGGTCATGGTGGCCGAAATTATATGCTATCAAGGTTGCGTCAAAAGTATTGGATACCTGGTGCTAGTGTAGCCATAATGTGCTATTCATATCGAAGTGGTGCCATCACTGGATACTGATTCCTTTATTAATGCAATGCGACGATTTATCGCAAGACGTGGACAAGTTGTAGAAATACGATCCGATAATGGTACAAATTTTCTTGGAGCGGAACGTGAGTTAAGACAAGCTATTGAAGACTGGAACCAATCATGTGACTGTGGGAAAATGTGGGAGTGTCATTAAATATTTGAGAGTTAAAACACCTGTTGTGAGTGGGGGTTGTCAGGGAAAGAAGGGGATGAGTGTGGGAGCACGCATTTTTTTGTTGACCGTACATTCAAACTTTTGCATTGATAATCTGCCGATCCTTCAAGCAATGCATGCCTCAATGTACAAGTTGTCGGTGGATAAAATAAATCTCAAGACGCAAATGTAAAGGATGATTGAAGTGTCACAAGTTATTCCCTCACTCAGCTCCTGCGGCTTTAGTTAGTTTTTAGGCCGCTACAGTCATAATAAAATGGAGTCAGATTAGATAGTAAAATGGAGTCAGATTACAATTGAATTTAAA